CACACGCGCTGGGGGAAAAGGAATGAAAGCACGGGATGAGTGGAGGGCAAACAAGGTGAGGGAGGGGAACAATGGTGCTGGGGCAGGCAGAGGGCACACGAGGTGGGGGCAGGGAAGGCGGGCCTGCTGGGGTGGGCGGAGGGCACACATGCCAGCAGGAGCCCTGCCCGCCATGCTGCCCCACTGTCTCCTCGGCGCCCCTGGCTCATCTTTGAGTGAGAGCCCTGGGAGGAGTGGGGGGGCAGTGCCTTTGTTCTGCGTCCGCGCAGCACCCAGTGCGGTGGGGCCCCTCGGTGTGGGGGGGAAGGGGGGCTATTCCCACAGCTGGGATCAGGGGCTGGGAGTCGCGGTGGCTCCCCATGGAGCAGACACAGCGCAGTGGGTGCTGCCCCATCCTAGCTCTGGGTCAGGCACAGCAGGGACCAGAGGAGTCGGGGGGGCCGTGCCCCGGCGAGGGACGCTCACCCGCAGCCGCGCCTCCCCCAGGTAGAAGTTCTCCTGAAGAAGCCGCCCCATGGCGCCGAAGGCCTCCTCGGGGTGATCCAGGAAGAAGCGAGCCAGCTGCCAGGGAGAGAGGCAGGGTCAGTGCGACAGGCTTGGCCTGGGGGGACCACGTTCCGTGCCCGGCTCGGCCAGTTCCCCGCGGGACCTTGGCCCCGTCCCTGGGCTCTGCCCTCGGTGCTGCAGCATGTGGGTACGGAGCTGGGCAGAGCACGGCTGACCCAACCCGGGGGCTGGGAGCTGGAGCCAGACAAGCTCAGCCCGGCGATGGGGCGTCAGCATTGAATGGCGAGAGACTAACCACAGAGCAAATGGCCGGGGCTGGGGGATTCTCCATCTGCACATCCAGATGGGCTGGTCTCCTAGCAGCTCCCTCGCGCTCAGCTGGGGATTCCTGGGGGGCAGGGCTCAGACTAGCTGGCCCCAGTGACCCCTCAGCCTTGGCATCTACGACAGCCTTGCCCTGCCCTGCCGCACCAGCGGGGGCGCTACGGGAATGGCCGGGAGGCTTGGACACCGGAGTAGGACACTGTCAATGGGGACGGGGAACCTCCCAACCCAGCCCCATTAGGGACGTGCTGCGCAGAGACGACAGGGCCCAGCATGCAATGGGGCCAGTCTGTGGAGCAGGGCATGCCTGGCCCACGTGATACCTGTCTGAACTCTGCGCCTGCCAGGGGGCTGCTCCCCGTGGGCACAGAGGGGTAAAGCAGCTCCCAGACAGAGCAGGGGCCGTCTGGGCGGCTCACTGGAGGGTCAGACAGGGGAGCGCCAGGGGCCGGGACCATCACACCTGAAACCAACCACCCAGAAGAGGGCGGTTTTCCCCAAAGCCCGGGCAGGAGAGCAAAGGGGGAAGGTGCCAGGGCCTGTGGAGAGACACACCGCTCTCACCTGGGACAGACGGACGGGGATCCTACAACAGTTGGCGGGATGGGGCCCTGACAGGGGCCAGACCGAGCTGTCTTCACCTTTGCCTCCCTGGGCTGCCCTACCGGCGTCCGGGGCCAGGCTCCAGACAAACCCTGCTCTGGCTGGAAGGGCTGGGCACCAGCGGGGGGCGTCAGTCCCTGCGGCGGGACACGTCTTGCCTGGACCCTGGCTCAGGGGGACTCATGGGCGGGAGCCCAGGGGTCAGTCTCGGGGCCGCGTGGCCGACCCTGCAGGAAGAGTGGCCCCCGTGGGGGCCTGCCCCACAGAAGGGATCCTCCTAGAGCCTGTTTACAAGCTGGGGCTTAGCACAGGCCCTGCGGAGCCATCACCGACAGAGGCAGCTCCCTGGAGCGCCCGGCTGGGCAGAGCTGGGGCCTGGGCCCTGCCCTGGATTCCTCGGGGTGCAGCCCGTGGGGCTGTGGTGGGGAAGGGCCCGAGGAGCCAGCACGTCTCACTGAGATCGGCCAGCACCTCTCGCTCTGCCCCACGCCCCTGGGGAGCTCCCGGATGCCCTCTCTGTGGTGAGAGGTGCCTTGCATCACCCTCCCCGGGGCTGCTCCCTGCCTGAGCCCCGCGCCCCTGGAGCCCAGCCGTCAGGCAGGGCCTGTCAGGAGCTGCTGGGCGGGCCCACGGGGACCCCGCCTGCCAGGGAGCGGGGACGGCAGGGAGACCCCCGTGCCACACCGCCACCTGTGGGATTACCTGCCCTGTGAAGTCCAGTGCAGCCCCCCCAGTCTTGCTGGCCTGCTGCTTCCTTTGAATCTGCCCCACGTAGAGGATGTCGTGGGGTGTCAGCGTGGGGACACGGCAGCCTGCGTGAGAGAAGGGCAGGGCGAGGTGGTTACCGCAGCCCTGGACAGTGGGGGGAGAGCCAGGCATACGCCCCCCATGAGGTGGGCTGGGGCACTGCTGGGAAGCCCCCTGCCCTCCCATTGCTACCCCGCCCCCAGGGACTTAGGGGGAGGAAGAGATCAGGGGCCCCAGGGTAAACTCATGACACAGGCCCCGTCCCACCCCACACAGACACTAATTAACAAATGGGTCCCGTGGTGCCTGGCTCAGGGCCAGCTGGGCCCCTCCCTGGTACGGCCCCCAACCCCCCTCCGCTCGGGGCCTGGCCGGTTGAGCTCTCACTCGCGTTGGGGGGCAGGAAGGGCACTGAACACGCCTCGGCAGGGGCCCAGCTCTCGCCCTTCTTGCTGTGAAGCGGAATAAATCTCTCCTGGGGCTGAGGGGCAGAACGCAGAGAGGTTAATACAACCCCCCACCCGGCCCGCACGACGCACCCCGAGCTCCCGCCACACAGCCCGGCCAAGGCCACTTCACCCCGACCCACAGCTGGGATCCCCCCGCAGCTCTGCCAGTGCCCCTCACTCCCGACCCGCAGCCCCCGCTCACCCAGCCCTGCCCCCCCCCGAGCTCTGCCGGTGCCCCTCACTCCCGACCCACAGCCCCCGCTCACCCGGCCCTGCCCCCTCCCCGCTCTGCCAGTGCCCCTCACTCCCGACCCGCAGCCCCTGCCAGCCCAGCCCTGGGCCCCCCCAGCT